ATTCCCCAGCCAGCCATGCTGGCTGGGGAATTCTGGGAGTTGAAATCCACACATCTTCAAGTCACCAAGGTTGAAGAACCCTGCAATAAAGAGCCATGGGGCCAATGGTTGATATTCATATACGTTTTTGGTAGCATCCGTAGGACTTCCTCCACTAGCTTTCCCTACAGCTGTCCTGTGAAGTAGATGACACCACACATTTCCGAGGCTCTCTCCTTCCATATATTTAGATCCATGTCCTACTGTCATTCAAAAGTAGTTTTTGTTATTATAGCTAAAGAAAATATCCAAATGACACTTCTTGAGTAGAAAATAGCAAAAGGCTTAGTAATTCTCAGTTGTCCTGTTTCTCCTCCCCCCCCCCCCCCCCCGCATAGTACAATTTTAGGGGTTCAGTTCCATGCCATACCCTGCTTTGGAGTTCCTGCCATATTAAAAAGAAGGTATTTATTTCTAAATACATATACAAACATCTGTATGCTTTTCTGGTGTCCAAAGCTGAAGCAGCCTTTTAGAAGGGCCTATATTGCCATCCAAAGAAAATCCCTTTCAGGAAATCTAATACAGCTTTGTCGGAGTTATGTTCCACTTTTTCTCCCAGAAGCTCAGTGTGGCACACATTTGTTTTCCTTTCCGTATCACAACAACCCTGCAAGGAAGACAAGGTCAAATGGTGCCCACTGATTCATTCTTCCACCCAGCTATTTTTCTCTAACAAGCCACATTCCAGATTAATGCAGCTGTTCACTGATGCTTTGTCTAAATTTAGATTTCACCTTATTTCCTTCTCTCCTGCCAGCCCATTACTCTGCTTCGTCAATCACGAACACGTTCCAGTTGCTTTCTTGGGACTGGCTGCTAAGAACCCAGCTGGGCATTGTCACCCCATTCCAAGTTTTGGGAGGATTGCCCTAATTTCTCATTCCTAAATCTGGCCTTGGGAAAAAGGCTTGTCGGTGAGATCAGACCACAGCCAGAGTTTTCCTCATCTCTGGTCTGTGGTGGGTGGGGAAGAGAGAGAGCAGATCCCAACCCATTTATCTTCTGGCACGGTTAACAGAACATAACCCTCGCAGTTTCTCTCCTGCACTGCTGCTAGTTTCCAGGAAAAGCACTTCATCTAAAACTCACTAATTTTTTGCAGATGAGTGAGAGTTACCATTTGGAGAAACAAGGAGGGGAAGCTTAAATTCTGGGAAGGCAGCAAGGCAACCAAGATGACTTTATTGTAATTATGGGACTACTTACCCACCCATCCACTCCAAAATTCATCATAGGATTCTACTATGACCAAAAAACGGGAAAGTGTTGAATGGGGGAACTCAGGAAGGCAGGCAGGCAGGCTCTCTAAAAGGAGAGAAGATTTACTTGCCTGAATCCTGGGCTAAAAAAAACCTTAAATATAATCAAAGCTAAAATCCACCATTCTACAAATGGTGGCAACTTGAAGATGTGTGGACCTTAACTCCCAGAATTCCCCAGAAAGCATGCTCCCAGACTTCAGAATTCTGGAAGTTGAAGTCCACACATAAAGTTTCCAAGTTTGAAAAACAGTGGATTAAATCAAAGGCTGGCCACAGTGGTTGGGATCACATTTCCCCAGTTTTGGGAGAATAAAAAGGTTAAAATAACGTTTAAATGGTAAGAAACCAGGTAATCGGTGCTCGGTGGTTTGCAGATGATTTTCAGAGGCACAGCCTAACTGGTGGTCTGGAGGTGGGGGGAAAAAAATGAGAGCAGTTTGGGTCCACAGGTTGCTCCTCCCTGGATTTAAAGGAATTGTAGTTGTATTCATTTATGGGATGTTGTTTAAATGTGGGCAAAACCCAGTACAGTGCCAATCCCATAATTTGCTGCTATGTCCTTTGTTTCTGAAACTGGTCACAGCAAACGACAATGTCGCAATCAGCACAGTCAGTGACTTGACCAGCTTTGATCCCTCCTTTGCAAGAATGATTCCGGCTCACCTTGTGAGGGAGTTATGTTAAGGTTACAGCCAGCCAATGCTTGCTGCAAAGTTTCCTGAACAACAAAAAGAGCGGTACAAGTGTTCATGTGTACGATGCTTGCTAGTTTCCATCACTCCCAAGCCCTTGAATCTTTCACACTGCCTGAATGTGGCCTAAAGCTAGGGGAGTGCTGTAAAATCTATGAAAGAAACTGCTGGCCTGAAAAATGCAGAATAGAACAGGTACAGTCCTGTTTTCATTTGTGGTTTTTTGGGGGTTTCCCTACATTTATTTTTATTTTATTTATCGCATTTATATAGCTGCCCAACTCACATAGAGTGATTCTGGGTGGTGTACAACAATTAAAAACGACATGCTGCATTTTGGCCCAGATCATTGCCGAATTATATTCAATGTATTTTCCCAGCCGCCGCCGCCGCCTCCTCATTATTATATTTTTATTCCATCTTTGCCAATCAAATGACAGGATTCTAGTTTTCCTTCTATTTTGCAGAAAGAAAAATAAGGGATTCAACAGGCTGTGGGGAAGCATAAGAGATTGATCTCCTCCCTATCCAACTCCATTAAGAAAGCCTATAAGGGTCTCATCAAAAGAGCCATTTTTTAAAAAAGTCACTTGCATATTGATTGCGGACCTGAATTCCATATTTTTCAATAAGAAGCTGATGCTTCTTATTGAAGCATCAATAAGAAGCATTCAATAAGAAGCTCAGCAAAGTGACCTGTCTCCAAGCACTGTATTTATCAACCAGAATGCTTTGGGACTCCATGTTGGCCCTGCAGGCATTCTTAAGGAATTTAAGCAATGATGGCTGTAACCCCAGGTTTGTTTACCCACTGCCTAGGAAATAAAGGCAGGTTTGGGCTAGAAACATCTCAGGTTTGCTTCCTGATAAATAGGTGCCTGTCAGTTTTTCATAGATGTCTCTTCCCATGGCGTCCATTTCGTAACAACATCCACAACCATGCTTTCAGGAAGTTCAAAGGTGGCCACTGACTCATAAAAGAGAGTCAACTGGTCTTTGGGTCAAGCAACTCAAGCCTAATAACCACCATAATAAAGTAGAGCTGTACACAGGCCACCATTCAAGATTGTCTGTAAAGCTTGGGAATTTCAACTTGGGTTTCTCATGTCAAAATCCAGCATTCTCCCCACTGCATTAGATGCTTTGGCAGGGGTGTGAGGTGGTTAAAATCCTAGAATCATCCATTGGAAAGAGGTGATGAAGGCCACTGAATCTCAGTTCAGTGCTGGAACCCAAAATAAATCATCCCTGGCAATTGTTTCATCCAGCCTTTGCTTGAACACATTCACTGAAAAGGAGCCCACGACCTCTCCAAGTCACTGGTTCCACTGCCAAACTGCTCTTACTGTTTTTTCTTTCTATTGGAATTTGTCTTCCTGTAACTTAAACCCATTTTTGGTCTCCCCGCCTTCTGGGATGATAGAAAACAGACCTTAGCTTTCTGTTTTGTGAGATCCTTTCAGATAAAGTCTGATCACAAACTACTCCACCTCCACCCCACTCTTCTTTTCTCCAAGTTAAACACTCCCCAGTCCCTTCCATTCCTTCTTGAAAGGACTCAAGTGTCTCTTCTTCTCATCATCCTTGTGGTCCTCCCTTGAATTGGTCCCGATTCTTCTGAATCATTCTTGAAGTATGGTGCCCCAAACTGGACACAGTACTCAAAGTGGGATCTGACCAGTACAAAATAAAAATTGGAAATTATGCTTCCAGATATGCTTCTATTGATATAACCTCAAACTGTGTTGGCTGCAAAATCCCCTCTGCATTGCAGTCTGTTAAGACTTCGACATTTAGCAGTGCAATTCAAAACTGACTTTATGGCAGCTCTACAATGCTTCCGCTCTGTCTTTCCCTCCCCAATCGCTTTTGCTAGTTTGACAGCCACATAAGGACAGGCCATATTAACATATCCCTAAACTTTTCCAAAAAGATTCCATTTGGCAGGGAGACTATTACATTTAATCAATCTACAAGTTGCCTCTATTGTTGAAGCAACTCTAGGCAACCTTAATTAATATAAATCAAGATTAGTAAGATCAATGGTTTTGCAATAGTTAACAGTGAATAGGAAAGATATGTGAGCAAAATATGAATACATAGACCATGTTGCCTAAGGAGAGCCAAGATCAAATAGGGAAGTCTATTTAAATAAGTAAGCACAGCCCAAAGACAGCATTTCAGGGAAACCCTAGTACAGTATTTCCAGGAGAAATAGCAGGTGGAAGATAATCCCTGTATTAGCTCACTGAAGATGAAATTATAGCAATCAAGGAGAAAAATGGAAAATAGAATAGAAAGAAAATAGAGCAGTATTTTGTTGCAGGAATCACTTAGTTGGCAGAATTATATCTAAACACCAGTTTGCTTTTACCTTCTGGAGAATTTTTTTTCTATATTGGCCATGTCTCTGGACAGATTCCCACATTATGCCAAACCATCATATTGTTTAGTTTTGGCAGGTTAAGCCCAGCCATTATGGTTGATAAACATTGATTTATAGCTTAGCGTGTTGTATGAACTCAATTGTTATTGAGTTATGGTTATTCAATGAACCATAATTAAGCAAACTCTGCCTTAGTCCAATGTGTAGACTCAATCCATCTTCTAGTCATCTTTCTAGATATCCTTAGCTCTGGAATGGGTCTTCTATTTGAAGTTCCTGGTTTTTCCACATTACTTTTGACGCTGGACCAAAATCACCTTCTGCATTTTTCCCCCAACTGTTCTCCTTCCATTTGATAGAAATCACTTTCCATACCTTTCCCTCCCCCAAGAACATTTTGACCATATCCTCACGGTTGCTGTGTAGAACTCTCTATAGAAGTTTGTATAAACTTCAGTCGCAAAAGGTATGTGTGTGTTATACATCCAAGTCTTCTCCGTTGTACTGTATTATCATTTCTCCAGCAGTGTCTGCAGCCTGGCCTATTAAATCCCAAGGAAACTCCTATTGTGGATTTTTTTTTTCCTGATCAGGAAGTAGTAGCAAAAGCATCTTTCACCATCACATATCAACAAAGCTCAGAGAAACCACTCAAAGAAATTGAGAAGCATCCCAAGAGAAGGAATTCTTTGGGAAGTCAAAAAACTGATTTCTGCATAGCATTAATCCCTCTTCTCAAATGATGCAGCAACCTTGCAGGAACTTATCTGGCCAGAGCGGGAGACCTTACAGATACCACCTTCAAACCTCCCACTTATGACTTAACGAAAGAGATGAAGAGGCTGTGAAAATCCAGCCAATGCTTATCTCTGAGCAAGTTCAACAGGGCCATTAAACCATACGGCTGTCTAGCACATGGGTTCGATGAAAAAAAATGATTTCCTCTGGGTAGAGGTGCAAACATAGCCATTTTTAAAAGCACTGTACAGCCTTGTTGTACAGCTCAACAAAAAGGCTAGGCTGGTCCCTTCAACTCTGAGCCTTGCAGAAAAGGCCCCCTGGTTTTTGCCACCCTGTAATTTTGGTTAGTGCTGAAGAAGACCCTTTTATTCCTACAACAGGCTGCAGGATGACCCGGTCCTGACTCCTGATCTTGCAGTATCAATGATCCTGAACTCAAGGACAAAGCACAAAAGACAGAATCACTTTAGGATCACAGTGGAATTTTCAGCTGGGGAAAAGCTGGGTTTTTAAAAAATAGGTAAGGGATATGATGAAGACATGCATGCAATTGCTGTGTTATTGCAGATTGGGTTTTACCTTAATTATCACGATAGATTTTATATATCATCTGGCTTTGGTGTCATTTTGTATGGTGCTTTTATATGTTAGCCATCCAGAGTCGCTATAAATCAAACCAATAAATAATGCTTTTGACTTCCCCAAAGTTCAGATCTGTTTCATTTCTGGACTTTTTCCCTGCAGCCATGGCATATTTTTGAAAGTGATCCATAGCTTCACATGTAGCAGCCCCAAACGTCCTAATTCATATTTGGGCAATTCCTTTATTCAAAGGCACAACGTCCCACACAAACTCTGGAATTCTCTAGAACTTTTCATTGTGTTGGATGAAGAGTTGTTGAGAAACCAACATCTGCACTCTTTCTTCTTTTGGAGTGAGTTAGCCTTATAAAAAATAATACCATGAGATTAAAGATAACCCCGAAGCTGGCTTGAAACTCCAGTGGCTCCATAAGGATGAAATCACCCACAGGAAAAGGCAAACACTTCTGGGTTAGGAAAAGTTTTTTTCCCCCTTTTGTCTTTTAACTGTAACTAAAATAAAAAGCAAATAACAGCCACACATAAAGAGCTGAAAAGGATTCCCAGTTTGGTTCAAACATTTTATTTCCTTTTTGTTGTTGTCATTGCTGCTCACAAAAAAAACACATCGTCAAGTGCCTCAAGGTTATTTTTTTTTAATCATACACATCTCCATCCACAAGGCCAAGCCAAACATCACAAAAAGCCTTAGAACACATTTTTAAATACTCTTGTTTCAAACAAAGCAAATAAAACCCACACGTGGCAGAACAGCGTCAAAGATGGTTCCTGTTATAAATACAGTGTAACAATTATATACAACTTTTACAATTTTAAGACAAAACCCAGCAATGTCCCTGGGCCAAATGCATTTGGAAAGATTTGAAAGGTGGTTTGCACAAGAAGTCTCCTTCTGTGCACACACCCGTTGAATTAAGACTAGGGCTGAGCTCAATTAATTGTTAAGTACACGCTCAACCCATATTAAAACCTGGTACGAGGAAGTAGCCTCAAAAACTCTGCCAACAAAACAGTGACATGATGAACTGATTACTCTATAAGCCTAGCTCCAAAACTGCATTCTGCAAAACTCGGGTATCATGGAACAACTGTTCTTCAAATTCATTGTTCTACATACAAATAATTTCATTTATGAAGAAATCCGTAAAGACAAGTGTCTTCAAAAAGCTTATCAAATAGTAAAAAACACATAGCCCTTTGTTCAAAGAAAGGAACACCGTCACCACCTCCCCCCGCACACTTCCAACACTGTGCATGTGAGCCCAGGATTTAACTGAGCTATACTAAGTCAAGAAGTAAATAACTGGATCTGGGATCAGCAACTAGGAACCCAGTTGCTGCATATTCACAACTGCTACTTCTCTTTTTAAGCAAGGGTGGCAGGCTGCGAATCAAGGAAGAAAACAGTATCTTGCAATGGAAGTGTGCTAAGGCTCACCCTTGGGTTGTGCAAGGCATCTGTGTCAAGAGGTATACTGTGTGCAATTCTAATGTTATCTTCAGCCTGGCTAGCACTGCTATAGCCACCTCGGGCAAAGCTGAAACACTCTTCAATTATGCACCCAACTTCAAACCTTTACTCCCTCTTGTCTCTTGCTCTACCAAGGAAGATGAGACTGGGGGCATAGCCAGAAAAACTACATTGGGTTTAACTGGGGCTCTGAAAAACTAGGCAGTAAGAAGTATTCTATGAACCACCATCACCAATGTCATGAACTTGGATTGACTTTCTTGTAAGAAAAATAACAATAAATCACTACATTTTGCACAAGTGAAGTTCAGGGCAACCCTAACTTGAAATAAAGGGTATGTAATTCAGATTTTTAAGAGCTCTGCTAAGGAAAAAGCATACAGATTGTGGATTCCCCCTCCCTACAAGAAAGGTGCCCTAAATCACTATATAGAATTTGATATCTACTTCTCCAGATGATGCAATCTTTGAGTTTATCCCTTTCCCATACTCACCCACAATGCGTATGCCCAAGCACACACTCATGCCTCTGATTATTTACTGCTACAACAACCTTAATTTCCACTGAGACAAGAGATCTTCCTCAGTACATAAAACCGCAGCAAAGGAGTTAACATTTTGAGCAGTCCAACCATAAATCTTTGCATGCAGAAAACGAGCATGCCAAGAGAAAAGGCTAGGCTCAAACACTTCATCCTGAAATCTAGATGTCCCCTGCATTATGTTAAGATAATCCTCTTACTGCCTGAAAAGATACAGCCAAGATACAGGGTTCCAACTTAAGAATAAGCCAGCTGTAAATGATGACGTGGTTAAGATAAAACCAAAGGCTCCTTTAAAGTTAGGCTGAAGTTGCTCAAGGAATTCAGTCTCATGAGCTGTGAAGAAAGAAATGAAGGATGGGTCAAACTGGTCCAAGATTTGTAGCTTAAGGATCAATAAAGCCCCAGACCTCAGACGGCAGGAAGAACCCTGGGTCAACATCAGATACAGATGGACCTCTTCCCTGTCTATTTAGCATCTGGTCTCCCTCTGCACATCCATGAAAAAGTGGGTGCTCCTGGGCAGCACTGCCCCCTCCAAAACTCAGCAATCTTGGGTCAGAAGCAACCCAAGTCAAATTTTTGTTCCCTGAGAAAGGATGCATTTGCTGCAAATGGACTTGCGTCAATCTAAGGCAGCTAGAAATTATGATTATGGGACTGCTCCTGGAAAAAGTCTTCCCTGCCTGTTGATTTTTTCCTCCTGCTAAGGAAGAGATGCAACACCCCGTCAAAGTAATCTACAACACCCCTTCAAGCCTTTTAAAATTGCTGCTATAGAGCCTTTTTACCTTTCACAGAAATAAACTAATTTTAAAATAGGTAGTCCCTTCCACCCAGCTACAACAAACGTGTTGCCTAGCTCTGATCTAAGGCAATGGACTGCAATCTTGCCTAGAGCTGCAGGTATGTGACCCAGCAGCGGGGAAACACATATTGCCTGAGATATTGAGTAGCAAATATATTTTGGTAGACAACCAAACCTGGTTATCTGATACAAAGTGATCTTTTGTGGTCAAATCTGCTATCACCCATCAAGTGAAGCTCTGCTCTGACCAGCGGAAAAAAATAAATAATTATTGCTAAGACACCAGTGTCAGCTTCAGAAGCAAATGATTATGATAAGAGTATGCAAATTTTCAAATTGCAGAAATTCATCAGGAAGACAAATATGCAACCCCACCCCTGGTATTATGTTCCCCTGCAAGATTACATCTACTTTATACACTGGGAGGCAGGGTTATAAGAGGCTCTACTTATTAGGATACATAAAATTGCTGATGGCTCATAAATCATTGACAGAGAAACACACACTTGAGTATTAAGGCTATGGTCAGACTTGGGGGACACACTGAAAACATCTGATCCACTGAGATCCAGACCTTGGAGATCCAGGTCTTGGAGAAATGGAGAACCACCACATCAGTTGGTATGACTATCAAGGGCATGAGGGGTTGAACACTTGGCCCCAACAAGGAATGAAGTTGGGCAATCAGGAATGGTCCAATTGTGAGCTGAAAACAGCCAAGTCAAAGAAGCAAACCTCTCTGGGGAGGGGAAAAGTGTGTTTGCATGGATTCAATCTCAAAAATTTGCTCTTTTAACCCATATCTTGGGAAAGGATGTGGCTGCCTCCTTAGACCTCAGCTTTTAGCAACCATGCAGAAAAGATACTAACCTCATCTTGTTTTATCCACAGCTTGAGGTGCAACCGAAATCCCCTCGACAAGCAACAGTGGTTAATCTCTACTCTTTTTTTTGACAACTCCCACACTCCCTCACCAGCCGGGCTGATGAAAATTAAAGCCTCAAACACACGGAGGATACCAAGTTGCTTCTGGGACAGAATCAGAGCCTTTTCCAAGGCATGTAAACTCAGTTTCAAACCAGGACATGCTAGGATTTTCCAAAGTTCATCTGGGGTAATAAATGTGGAGGAACCTAGCCAATCCATATACAAGTTAATTCTGCACGGAGAGCCTCAGAGAGATGTCTGGTTGGCCCAGACACATTCCATGACACACTCAGTTGGAGGAGAACCCTGGCACCAGGAGAAGCCTGCCTAGCCCTTTGTTCACTTTTCCCCTGATGGATGGACTGTAATGTTGGGAAGTTCATACCAAGAAGACAGCCACTTTCAACTTCCTGTCCCTGGGTCAGGAATCCTGCAAATCACTTCCTGTTCCAGAAGATTTACTTTTGGAAAACCACCTAACTGTACCTGGAACGCCTGAGTCAGGGGTTCCAGAAGAAAAATACCAATTTTGGGATTCTCTGGAACACTCTGTCCTTGGAACAGTAAAGTTTGCACATTTCTGGGCAGATTTGTAGGCCCTTCTCCAAAACACTGCACAGGGTATGAACAGGGCCCTACACTGAGGACTTCCACCCAGTGAGAAATGTGGGATTCAACAAGAAAATATACAACTGAATTAAGACCTCCTGATTTCTCCAAGGTATTAGCAATATTGTGTGCAACTTCCATCGGGCCACATGGAAGAAATGGGGAAAACCAGAGTCCAAGTTCTGACACTCAGCACTTCCAAAAGGAAAGAAGAAAAGCTAGAAAGGAGAAGACAGGACAGGCTTCCCCATAACAGCACATGGGGTGCTTTACTGCCCATCCAAAATCCTCTGGGAAAGCCTTGAATGAGTCAGGATTTTCTAAACTGAGGGAGAACTATTGGAGGAGGCCAGCCTGCAAGCCACATCCTTTGGGACAAAATGCAAAAGACGCTTCCAAGAAACAGCCCAACGCTTTGGAATCTGGGTCTGTGTGTGCGCAGAGGAGGTTACTGTTAGCACCATAGGAAGGGCCAGGAAACTCTGGTTTTAATTTCTCAGCAAGTCCCCCAAGTCATAGGCATCAAACAAGTCGCTTACACCCTCGCCCTCCTCCAGTCCCCACAGATAATCCTCTTGGTCGAGGGGAGGGGAAAAACTGACAAAGGGGCCTGGGTCGCCGTAGGCTGTGGAAGGGAGCTGGTCCTCTGTCTGCTGCAGGAGGTGCTGAGGGGGCTCTAGGAGACCATCCTCTCCCTCCATCAGGCAGCTTGGCAGCTCTGTCTTCACCGATTCCACTGGAGAAACAAGAGAGAAGTCAAGACACAACGTGAGCATCACAGTAGAGAGAGCAGGGTCAGGAGCTGGCACCACTGGGCACCAAGTGAGGTCAAGGTCTCAAGATGGAGCCCACCGCTGAACTCCAGGAGCTACCACGCTCTGCCCATGTCTTTAGTGTTGACACCTTTTTGCCTACCCTCTCCAAGTGAGCAAGCAGTGGCTACATAATGAGAAAGGGGGTACCCACACTTATCCTGCCCCCAATTTTGGGCCCAGGGGAGAAGGAAAGCAAAGAATGGGTAGGGCAAGAAGAAGCAACCACTTGGCCCAAGATCTGCAGCTGGTCTATTTGACTTACAGAAGGCCACAGAGATTACCGTGGCCCCCAGCTTTCTCCTAATGATAACCTGGTCTCATATGGGCTTCCACAACCAGGTACAAACAAGGCCAAGACAGACTTTGATGGCTGTGCCCCAAAAAGGGATCCCCTCCCCAAATAAATATGATTGGGCACTTACTTTTACACATTTCAGATCAGTGGTGGGCAGAAGACTGATTACAGTCTCCTAGTGGGCTACCCAAAGTCTATTGGCTGGGAGGAATTCCTGCACAGACATTGGGCTGAATGGATCTTGCCCCAATTACAGAATCATTGTGTTAAAGGGACTTCAAAGGTCACTGAGCAGGAAATGTGTCACTGCAGCACCCTTCAACATTTGGGTCATCTAGCCTCCACATAAAAACCACCAAGGAGAGCCACCAAGGTAACTTGGATCCATTATTGAACAGCAAGTCTCATCAGGAGAGTGCAACTCTGAATCATCTGATGGAACAAAGCATGACTGAAGGACAGCTCCTAGGCTCAGCTGCTTGATGGCAAGAACTGAAGCCTGTTAGAAGGTGATTCGCCCAGGCACCCCTCAAAATGCAGAGCCAGCCCAGCAGATAAGCTTGGAGATCATCTTTTAGAATGAAGCGAGCCTTTCCCAGAGGGCCAAGGTGCTCGTCCCTTCAGATCATTCAGCATTACCTTTCACCGTTGTGGGTTTAGCACTCTCCTGGTGTGCTGGAAGAGGGAAGCAACTCTCCTTGGCAGGGCTCTCTTCCAGAATTTCTTCTGGGCATAGGTAGACTTCAATGGGGCCATTGGTACTCCTTAGGTGGAGCTGGACGTTCTCCTGGCCAGAGAGGAGACACAAATCAAGGAAAAGCAAACTCACCACCCCTCAAGCCAAGGACACCTGCTTGGGAGCATACAATTAGTAACCATTGTAGCAAAATGATTATGAATGAATTTCCTCCCCTACCTCACAAACATCAGGCACCTCGAGACGAGTTTCTGGGGGCGCTCTCACCACAATCACAGTCTGCTCGTTAAAATTGCTGATGGCCCGGATATCCTGATAGGTGACATACGCTAATGTAGGACACAGGGGAAAGTTAAAGGAAACACTGCAAAGAGACACCAACTCTGAATTGTCCAGGGCAATTAAGGGATAAAAGAGTGCCCTCCACCTTTTTAACCTCCAGTCAGAAAAATCAGGCAATGCAGGGAACAAGCAGACAAGAGGGTATTCAAAAACTGCTCTTTTTCCAACAGTGAGGGCATGGGGAAGAAATGGCAAACTAAAGGCAACTCTGTGAAAAGCAGAGCTGACGACCGTAGTGGAATGAAGAGCTGGTGAGTAGACTGGCTCTTCATAATTCCTCTCCAGACAAGGAGAGGACTTGAGATCACCCACAAGTGCTCCAGACAGTTGCTCCTCACTAGAAGACCACAAGACAACGGTCTCCAGTGGGTTTATAACTCTGGGAGATGAGGGAATAGCCAACTTGCTACCGTATCTCTGGCCTTCAATGCAGCCTGGACCAGGAATGATTTGATCCTCCTAGAAGCTGGTCTCTGCTCTCTGGCCATTGTCCTCTTCATCCCCACCCTCAAAAGGATATCTTTGATTGGTCTCATCCTCCGTCAGATGCTTTAACTGGAGAGAGCACTCCTGGATGAGTTTGTCCAACACCTTCTCGTTCTTCGAAAGTTCAGTCAATTCTTGCCGCAAGACGTGCTGCTTTGTTGCCACGGAGGAGTCTTCAAAAAGGCCCGTTCCCCTAGGTAGCACATTAATAAAAGATCCAGTGAATCCATTTGCTAAACCGGGGCCTGGGTTTTCGCTTTGAACTCTTTTTTTTCTCCCTTTTTATTGTAATATTATAAATCTTAATGCATTGTATGATTTCAATGCAGATTTCAATGCAGTAATATTTATGTGATAGGATTAAAAATTATGCACGTTCTATTATTTAGAAAGCTTCAAGTATTGAAAATAAAAGGAGAAAAGTAAAAATTCTATCAGTATTAATTGCCATTTAGCATGTCATGCTTAACAAACGTAAGATTATTTGACTTTTCATCCAAAGTTAAGTATAACATAAAAGAAGAACACTTTGAACTCTTGAGACCTGGGTAGGGGGGAAATTCAGAGGGTTTTTAGCAAAAAAGAGGCACCCAGAGACATTGAACTTGCATGAGCAAACACAAAGAGTTTTAGCCAAAGCTGAGAGAGAAATGGAGTTAAGGAGATTGATAAGAAATGTGGAAATTAAGGAAATTGATTTGAAATGTGACTCTGCCTGGTAAAGAAAAGCAGAGGGTATTACAAATGAACAGAGCAAAATGTGAGAAAATGACCCCCTATAGAGGCAGCAATTCTCAAGGAAAAACAGTATTTCTATTTAAGAAAAAGTAATATCCAATTACCCTAGGGGAGGGGTTAAAAAAACAGAGCTCCTCTGTTGCTTTGGCTGAGAAAACAGCTCCATTTTGGCAACAGCCTAACTGCACGATTTGCCGCCCAGCTGACTGCAAGAGGGGGTGAAATTTGGAGCAACGGTGCTCCAGTTTGCAGGATTCTCCTTCCAAACCCATGTTTTTCCCTTGGATATCATGTCTTTTAGATTGTAAGCCTCACAAGGTCTTATTACTGACCTTATCAGCTATGCCAGGAGCCATTTTGGCTAAAGAGAGGGACGAAACTCCTTGATATGGATGAATAAAAATAGCAGCTGCAGAACCCTAAAGTTGGAGGGAGCTTAGTTCTCAACTTACGACAGCAATCGGCATTGGAATTTCCATTGCTAAACCATGCGGTCATGAAGCACAACCGTATCGCTTAGCGACGGCAATCCTTGTAGTCCCAGTTACTGTTGTTTATTGAATCCCATGGCCATTAGGCAAGACAACTTCCTGCCGGCTTTTCACAACCAAAGTCAGCGGGGAAGCTGGCAGGAAGTTGCAAATGCCAGGCTCGCAGGCAGGTGGCTCCTGCTGGGTCGGGGTGGGTGCAAGGGTGTGTGTGAGAGATGCAGGTTGAGGAGGGTGCATGAGTCAGGGAGGGTGCGAGGGGGTGCAAGAGAGGTGCGGTGTGGGTCAGGGAGGGTCCATGGGAGTGCAAGGGAGGTGGAGGGTGCACAACTGACTGGGGTGGCACAAACACAGAGGGGCTGTGGGAGGCTGCGCAGGTGGGGGAGACTTATCCCAGGGACTTACAACCTTCCCTGCCAGCTTCCCCATTGACTTTGCTTGTGGGAAGCTGGCAGGGAAGATTGCAAATGGTGATCACGTGACCATGGGACACTGCAATCACTGTACGTGCGAACCAGTTGCCAAGCGCCCAGATTGTGATCACACAACCGCGGGGGTGCTGGGACGGCTGGAACTCCAAGGATCAGTTGTAACCACCATTCATTCAGTGCCGTTGTAACTTCAAATGGTCGCTGAACAAATGGTCATAGGTTGAGGACTACCTTTCAGATGAAGAAATCCAGTTAAAGAATACATGCCAGATATACACTTTCAAGCATAGGCTGGACAGCCAGCTATTTTTCCCAGCCTGGGTATTCTCCAGATGTCTGGACCTCAACCCTTTCACATGGGCATGCTGGAATTTTGGGAGCTGAAGCTTCCCCATCTGGAGATCCTTTGGCTGGGGAAGGCTGACTTATGGCAAACTAACATTCCTGTCCCACATTTGCTCATAATCCCCAGCCTGATCTAGATTTCTCTTATGTTGGTGCCTGTTGTTTCCAAACATCTGCACTGTAAGTCTCTCTCCAGTCAACTTACATCCATTGGATATTGTTCTTGGATTTCTTGCGAATGAGCTGAATCCCTTCCAGGACATTGGTGATATCGTAGATACGTCGCTTTTGCACCTCCAGCACCTCGGCAGCCCGGTTCAAGTCCAGCACCCCGTCCTCTGATTCACTGAGCAAGTGAATGAACTTCTTGGTCAGCAAGCCGAGAGATGTGTCGTAGCGGGTCTTCTCTCCAGGAGACTTGGGGGCTAGAACACAAAGAAGATCCATGCAAAACAACCATACTAACACGGATTGAGGATTTCTTGGGATATCCCTACTTCAGAATTCTTGTGACCTCCGCTTAGGTACTGACCTGGAGAACCCCAACTAAAAGTGTTTATCTTGGATGTTCAGATCGCTATCCCTCAGCGATGCACAGCTATAGTCCGAAACTTTGAAAAGGAACAAGGAAGTCATAATACAGTGGACAGCCGGCTTTTCTGCTCAGCAAGGCTCAGAGTGCCTTCCAAACATGCCTACCCAAAATGGCCAAGTACAAACGAGGTCAAGTGATTCTGACCAACATCTTTGCCTATTATGGATTAAACCCAGGTTCCTGCAAATTTAAGTTCCTGCTTGAATGTTTGTTGCCTTTCCGAAACCAGTCTTCTCCATTCCAATGCTTTCAAGATGTTCTGGGCTATAACCCGCATCCCAGCCCCAGGCAGGATGGTAATCTTAGCCAGGGGTGGTGGAACTTGCAGCTTAACACTTGTAGAAGAAAAGAGATTGAAAAAGGCCTCTCTATGCTAAAAGATGGTCCTCTATCCCCCTCTTGTGGCTAATAGGGTTTCAGTGCAGTCATCCTTGTTATGAAACCCAGGTTAGATCTAGGCTCATACAATGTTTCTTCCGGATGTAGAGTAATTCCCAGAAGTACGATAGAAGGAAAAAGAAAAGACAGTTTCCTTCCCTGGAAAACAACCTTGCTCTATACCAAGTTTGGTTCTCGTTAAAATCCAAACATTTTGCGATCTAAAAGAAAAAAAAACCATGAGCTAAGCAGGTCACGCTGAACAAAACTGGATGCTGAAGAGATTTCTCACTTTTCACTGGAAACTGCCCTCTGCCCCATTTCAAGCCAATCCCTGATGAGGACTAGAAACTTGATTAAGACAGCAACTCTAGACTCTGCCAATGCATTCTTTTGTTCCCGTTCAGTATTTCCTCATCCAATGCCTCTTACTTTTTGGACTAGAGATGTGAGGGAGTGGTCTCCCTTTGCCTTTTGGAGTCCGGAATTCTGTGTTGCACTGCTGAGTGGTTCCTTCGAGATCCAGTTTCCTCTTGGCCTACAGAAGGGAGAGAGAAACAGAGGCTGCCACAGTTAGCTTCCTGGGAATACCACAAGCACACACTTGGCAACATACACACTTTCCATTTCTCTCCAATCCGTGGTGCATTAAAAACATTTCATTACCTAGCCTCCCATATCTACTCTGGCTTTCCCGTGTAATAAAACAAGACGGCCATGACAGTTTCTGGGTTTTCATATCTGTTTACATCCTCTGTTCGAAGGGCTATTCTGAGCGTTAAAGCCCACAGAGAAAACTTGCATGGATGTATATTCTGAAGCACCCCACAGGGTTCAACACAGGTTTTGCCAGAAATGTATTGCCGCGTTAAAGTCCTGCAGTAATCTTTTCCAATATGACCTCCAGATGTGTTGGACTACAATTCCCATGCTTTCCCCATCAGCACATCCAATGGGGAAAGCTGGTTTAGGGCCAGAATATTCATTCCCCTTGCTTTCTAATGGACACATGAAATTGCTGGAGTGATATCATCTGGAATGAATGTACAAACGTATTTCCTGCATGGATGTTGGGTGAATGCCTCCATTTCAGTTCTGGTTTCCTTCCCCCTGCCAACTTTTTAACGAATATGTTTTCCATTATTACATTTTTACTGTGTTTTTCTTGTTCTTTTAATGGCAAGCTGCTTCAGTCCACTTGCATGGGGGGCAGTAAAGAAACAGATGAAATTAAATGAGTGAAGTGGGCACCAAGATGCAGGTGACACCCTTTCCTTTTCCAAACACAGTTAAGCACATTGAAAACCTGGATGGCTAAGGCCTTTCCCCAAGAGGGATACAGAGGAGTGTGTGTCTGTGTCTGTGTGTGTAGAAGTGAAGGAAAGAGACATATATGAAGTATGAAGATAGCCGGAGGTAGCTGTAATTAAACAAAGAATCAAGTCACGAATAGCAAAATATCAGTTCAGTGCAGGAGCTCTAGTTGCAACCAGGAATGAACAGCTGAATAGCAGTAGAGTAAAAGAGGAGTGGGCAGATACTCACTCCTGCAACTCACTAGGATTGGATGGATACAGAAAGCTGAAGGGCTGAGTCCAACCCTCCGCAGGACGCTGGATATCGCTGTTCTGCCGTGCAGCCTGCCAGCTTCCCGTTTTTCAAACATTAAAATAATAGTGAAACCAAAGTCGAACACAGCAAGTGGGGGTCCGGGGGTCCATTTTCCATCCCCCCGCCACTTGGGGGGGAAAGAGAAAGCCCCTAAAATGTTGCCTCCCACCCTACCTGTCATTTCCCTTTCTTCTACCCCGGAAAAGGAAGAGGAAGGAATACAGTGTTGCTTTTTTTGAACAGTTTGCTACCAAACTGGCAAACAGCCAGGACAAAATGAACCCGGTTGCTCTTATTGGAGGAGGAGAGGCTCCATGTTTCGATGTGGGCCCTGACCCCAGCCTGCACGAAGACACACCTTCGCTTCTGTTGCCTATTATTTTGGGAAGAGGACAGCTTGCTTCCCAAGACAAGAGACCGAGCAAGGGCTGATGGTCAGGCAAAGACGATCAGTTGCAATAGGAAGATGCAGCTGCAAATCTCAGTCACTGCTGGATGGGACCAGCCCCGGAGGAATGGAAGAGGAATGGTTACCTGCATTCCCATTCCATCATCGAAAGCTGGTTTGGTGTAGTGGTTAAGGCACCAGGCTAGAACCCGGAGACCATGAGTTCTAGCACGAAGCCAGCTGGGTGACCTTGGGCCAGTCCCTCTCTCAGCCCCAGGAAGCAGGCAATGGCAAACCATTTCCAAAATCTTGTCAAGAAAGCTGCAGAGCTTTGTTCAAGGCAGTTGCCAGGAATCAACACTGACTACACACGCACTAGCAGGTTTCAGATTCCTGATCGCTCTCTGGGGAAATACTTTTTGGTTGCTTCTAGTCAAGGGCTACAAACAGCAAGAAGACTGGGTGGGTGAAAAGACTAATTTGAAAGCCAAGTAGAAGGCCAGGCAGCAAAAGTTGCCATTGTCAAGAGGTCCTTGCCAAGAAGCTTGGGAGGTAGAACTTAATGGCCAATGGATTATTTTTTCAAGGAGAATCACTCCTGCCTGGTGCTTCTCAAGACCACAGAACACCAAATACTGTGCTTTTTAATCAGGAAGGCTTATGCTGGTTTTGTTCAAAAGAAAAAAGGATGGCTCTGGACTTATGACCAGAGGACACAAAGCCCAGGCTGCACCCCTGGAAGAGGCGACACTGCAGGCAACTGAGCTGGATTCCAGGTTTTTTCTCCATCTCCACCACCAGCCGCTGCTGAAACCCTTCCCCATGGCCGGCAACAGTAGAAGAGTCTTTGCTGAGGAACTAACCCTGACCTCAGCAGAGCACCTGGGCCACAGCTGGGAAGGTGCTAGTTTGGCTCTCTGGATGCTGGTCAAGGTGAAGCAGCTGAGCTAGGACAAGTTGAGTTGTGAGCCTGAAAGGTTGAGATTGGTGTGCCTAGAAAAGGCACAATACATTGGAAGGCTTTGTGTTGCAAGGAAGACCTGCTGTGGGCCCGGTTGCAGAGCTAACTGCACTACCTGTCAACAGTGGGTGCTGAGCATGCCCTCCTCCTAGTTCTGGGAGCCCTTTTCAGTGGCCTCCACTGGCCTGGGCTGTCCCTTGCCCCACAGAACCAACCAGGGCTGTGCAATCTTCACTGAAAGGACCTGACCACACGGCTTCCGTCAATGATCCCACATTGCGGGATGCAAGGAACGTGGCGCAAGCCTAGAAGGTGGTGCCATGGCAGTGTTGTCAGGTTGTTTGGGCTGCTCTGCTGATGCACTGCCCTCAAGGGAGGAGTTCCTCTGCTCATGGTATGGCTGTACTGGTCATGGGAATACATGAAATATCCTCCATGAGCGCTTGTCTGCACAGTGAAACCAGGTACACTAGATTAATTGATTTATGTATTTTACATGCTTGCAGCCCACGGGCAACATCATGGCATAGTAGTATTCCGTGGGACATCCTTAGGAATTATGGCTTTAGTGTGCCATAGACCAAAGGAATGTTCCCCAGCAGGCCAGCAGATGTGGGAGCATCCTGAAGTACCTCAACAAGCTGGCAGGCCTTCCACGCTTCCTCCTGGCCAAGATGGTGTCTGTGTGTTTCAAACAGCACTGAGCGAGCGCAATGTTTAATACCAAGCGTTTTCAAGGAAGCTTACCACTGAGTTTTTTAAAAGTTTCTCGCCATTATTGTTTGAAGATGCAACTGAGCAGTTGTTAATGGGAAGAAATCTCTGAAGCCAACACAAACCAGAGCAAGAATCTCTAGCAGTTAGAGAGGCGAGGCATTCAAGCTGTGCAATCGTCTTTGTTCCTTCCATAAAATGCAGAATTAGGCAGACTGATGCCAGCGCAAAAGGACGATACTAGGTAGAGGTCACCAAATGCTCTTTTTGCTATGCAGACCTGCTTTCACTTTTCTTTTTCAAGGGTAATATGTACTTCCCTGGATTCTGCACCTTTGCCCAGGTCAGCAAAAAGGTCTGCGGGTTCACAGCCCCTGGCTTTCAGAGTTTAATCTGCCACAGTGCCAGATGACCCACCAAGCCCCTTCTTCATCACGAGAGAGATAGAGAGACACGCTTGGAGTTGACCTGATTTGGAAAGCCTTCAGCTGTTTGTCCAAGGAAAGAAGAGAGGAGGCATCTCTTGCCTCTCCTAATGCAAGGTGGAGCAAAATAAGGAAGAAAGAATGACCGAAAAAAGAAAGGGGGTTAAAAAAAAGCAGCGTGCACTAGGGCTTCCTGCCCACTTCCTGCCCCTCGGCCTGACGGCTCCCACAGCAGCTGCCATCCCCCTCAAGTGCTTCCTTTCGGCTACTGGATCGCTTGGTGGTGACAGAAAACCAGGCAGACGGTCCCCGAGGGAGGCAGGCAAACAAAGGCAAGGGCAGCCCCAGCACAGCAGCCCCAATCCAGGGGTCTCTCCGCCCTAAATAAATGCCTGGGATGCTGGATTTCCAGGCATAGGCCTGCCTGTTTAGGAACCCTTCGCTCAGAGGGGCCAAGAATGAGAGACATAATATGGAAAAGAACCCTATACAACTCGATCTGGTAGATCTGGCGAGATGCCTTGGCCCGCTAGTGCTCCCTAAACAACAAATGGCCCTTGGGCCCTCCTGCCAAAGGGGGTGGCTGAACAAACCAGGAGGCCTCCAGCCAGGTTTTGAGATTCTGATGCTTAGTGTTATCTCCAAACTAGGTCACACCAAGTATGTTCCTCTCTTGCAAATCGAGACATCCAAGGTCGCTCTGCATTTTAAGATTGGGGTGTTAGATAGACGGGCAACGAATGGAAGCAAGCAGGGCTAAACTGTGCCCATCTTCTGAAGATCAAGCCGCCGTTAGAGACGCCTAACTGAACCAGCTCTCGGCTGCGTTTTCTTTCCGTGCAACGTTACCCCGCTGCAGAGAGGACAGGGAAAGATTGAACCCAAAGGATTGCAACGACAGGCTTCCGGAAGACAAACAGGTATTTAAAACCATTTATTGCCTACCTCTTTGATTGTATCAGCATTCATTTTGGACAGCTTACAAGGCAAATACAGGCAACCGAGCATGAAAAATAACTCAGGAACGATCCCCTGCTAAGGAACTGACTATAAAAAGTTACCCGCTAGAATGATCCCATGAAAAAGAAGGAGGAAGCCTCGCTGAGCCAAGCACGGCTTTTTTCAAACCTGGCTGACAAAAGAGCTGGCTGAAATTCTCTCTGATGCAGAAGCTTTGGAAGGGCACAGGAATGCTGATCCATCTTTGCAGAAGTCAAGGAACTCATTAACCAAGTGGCAGCATCTGGGTAATTTCATAAACAAACTGACAGCGATGCCGAATCTGTTTTCTAAAGTTTGGCTTGATTTTTTTGTTAAGAAAACTAGGAGCAAGTCTGCAGTCCTCCTATCTGCAAAGGAAGATCAGAAGCTGGCAGCATGCCTTCGCGAGAACATCCAGCGTACCCAGGATAAGTC